GGGGGCTGCGCGGGGTGGTGGGGTCCTGGTGCCGTGGGATGGGGCAGTGCCAGGCGTGGGGTGGTCCCAGCCTGGATTTGGTGTGGTCTCAGCCTGGATTGGGATTTGGGGTGATCCCAGCCTGGGATTGGGATTTGGGGTGGTCCCAGCCTGGAATTGGGATGGTCCCAACCTGGATTTGGGGTCATCCTAGGCTGGATTTGGGATGGTCCCAGACTGAATTTGGGGTGGTCCCAGCCTGGATTGGGATTTGGGGTGATCCCAACCTGGATTTGGGGTGGTCCCAGCTGGGATTGGTGGACGTGGAGATGGCCATGGACACTTGGAGGGCGGTTTGCTGTAGGAAATTGCTGTAGGAAATTAAGGAGGTTTTGGGGTGGTTAAAATGATGGGGTTTGCTTTGTGCAGCCTGTTGTGGTCCTGGTCCCATGGGATGGGGCAGCACCGGGCTTGGGGTGGTCCCAGCCTGGATTTGGGGTGATCCCATACCCGGGGTGGGCACCAACCCAGTTGCAGCAGGTCCTTGCCTGCATTTTGGGGCTGAGCAGTGTTGCGTGCAGTGGGGACCCCCACACGGTGGGGGAGGACAGGCAGTGGATGGGGCTGTATGGCACCAGGGGCACCCCCAGCCTGGTGGGGTGGGGATGGGGCCGGGACCCCGCTTTGTGGGGTACGCAGGGGCACGTCCGTGGGGTGCGGGGAGGGGATGCTGCTGCCTGGGGAGGCACCTCTGGGCCGTCCCGTCCCGCCTGCGGGCAGACACAGGGACTGGGGAAGGTTGAGATGCTCTGCCTACACTGGGCCCGTTGTTGGGGGGTCCCCAGCCTGGGGGCCCCTCTGGTGAAGGAGAGCTTGGAAATCCCCCACCCCAAAAAGGGTTGCACGGCTGGGAAGGGCTGCACACCCCAAGCAGCCCCCATGCCACTCCTGGGCTCAGCACTGCTCCCCCAGCACCCCGCCGCCGGTGCAATGCACCCGAGCCAAGGCCAGGGTGCGGGGGGTGGCTCGTGGGGTACAGGGGCTGCTGGGGCTCTGCAGCCTGTGACATGCCACCAGGAGCCCCAGGGCCACCTCTGACACCCCTGGGAGCTGCTCCAGGAGGGCATCAGGGACACTTGGGTACTCTGGACGTTGCAGGGAGATGGAAGGTCACGGCTGTTCGGGTTGGTCATAAGGGTGGCATCAAAACCCCCCACCCAACAGCATCTCTTGGAGCACCTCCCACCCTCCAACTCCAACAGCAACGGTGGCGAAGGCCCGGGCAGCACAGCTGTCCCTCCTAGCTGCCCCCATCCACGGCACCCCATGGCCACTGGCATGCCATGCCACTGCACGGCCGGTGACATCCCGTCGTCAGGGACATCCCATGGCCGATCATACCCTGTGACTGGTGGCATCCCCTGGTCAGTGCCCCGGGGAACCTGCTGTGTGCAGGGACGCTGCTTGCCTGGGTGACACATGGGTGACAAACCCACGTTGGTCCTCTGCTGCAAAGCAGGGTCACAGCCATGGCATCAGTGGTGACACAGCAAGGGCCTTAGCCTGGGGCAGCCATCCAGCAAGGGACGGTCTCCTTCACCTTCATCTCCTCCTCCACCTCCACCCAGTCCTACTTCCTCCATCTCCACCTCCATCTCCTCCAGTTCTACCTCCATCTCTGTCTGTCTCCTCCATCACCTCCACCTCCATCCTACCTCATCCACCCCTACCTCCTCCACTTCCACCTTCATCTCCTCCACCTCCACCCCAATCCCACCTCCTCCACACCCATCTCCATCTCCTCCACCCTGATCCCACCTCCATGTCTACTTCCAGCACCCTCTTCCTCTCCTCCACTTCTGCCTCCGCCTCCATCCCACCTCCATTCCTGCCTACTGCCGTGGCCACACCAAGTTTCTCCAGACATCCCCTTCCTTGGTGGGCACAGTACTGTGACTCCAGTGCTCTCCGTGCTGCCACCACCCCCAGGACCTCCCACCAGGCAGACGGCCACCACACCGGGGGCAGGATCAGGCCCACACTGACCCCACCAAACCCCGCTCTGCCACCACCCCGGGGCACAGCACACACCACAGCACCGCGGCCACCACGGATGGGACACGAAGCCCTTCCCACCCCCCGGATACGTCCCCTGCGATGGACGCTGCCCCCAGGCACCGCGCCGGGCTCCTTTCACGGGTCTTTAATAGAAACCGCCGGCAGTGGGGCCGCAGCGCCCGCGTACAAAAGCTGGCAGGAGGAATCGCGTATTGCATAGACCTTGGTGCGGGGGACCCGCCTGCCCCCCGCAATAGTCGCCTTTTAGAAAACAAAAAGCGTCTCTGAATAAAACTCTCCTGGTACAATAAATACTCTCGCGTCTCAGAGCTGGCGGAACCGGGGAGCCTGCGCCCCCCTGCCCGCTCCCGGGAAGGGGCATGGGGAGGTGAGCGGGCAAAGGCCCCAGTTTGGGATGCCCCCAGTTTGGGAGCCCCTGGTTTGGGATGCCCTGCTTTAAGAGCCTCCAATTTGGGATGCCCCTTGGGAAGCCCCCAGTTTGGGAGCCTCTGGTTTGGGATGACCCAGCTTCGGGATACCTGAATGCCTCCAGTTTGGGGGTGCCTTGGTTTGGGAGCCCCCAGGTCGGGATGTCCTGGTTTGGGAAGCCCCCAGGTTTGGGATGTTGCTGGTTCAGGGTGACCCTGCTTTGGGATGCCCCTGTTTGGGATTCCCTGGTTCAGGAGCCCTTGGGTTGAGACACCCCCAGTTTGGGAGCCCCCAGTTCAGGATGGCCCCTGGTTGGGGCTGCTCCGGGTGGGGATGCCACCAGCCATGGCCACTGGCCACGGCTCAGAAGCTGGACTCGGGCACACCCGGGCGGCACAGGGAGCCCGTGGGCTGCCGTCCCCGCTGCAGCGTGGCCCCGGCGGGACCCTGGGCAGGCAGGGGGGGTCCCCCTGTGCCTCTCCCCAATGAGGCCGAGCGCCGCAGGCCCCCCTCGGGGCGCGGGGGCAAGCTGGCCGAGCTCTGTGAGCGCGCCAGGGCCAGCGGGCTGGGGGACAGCCGTGCCGGGGGGACACCCGCGTCCCCCTCCGGCCGTGGCAGCCCGGGGCGACGGAGCCCCCTGCTCTGCTCTGGGCTGCTCTGGCTTTTGGGGGGCAGGCGCAAGGCCCCCTCGGCGCCAGCGCTGGTGGCTCGCCGCAGCATAGGCACACGGAGGGGCCGGCGGGGGGCTCGGGGGGGCCCCGGCTCCTCCTGCCCCTTGCCAGGCTGTTTCGAGGGGCCGGCTGGCGCGGGGCTGGGGGGCGGGGGGGGGGCCGGGGCTCTCTCCCCCCCCCCGGGGCGCGGGG